AAAAAAAAAAAAAAAAAAAAAAAAAAAACCCTTCTTGGGATGAAAGCATCAAACCACATAGTGCATAGGACACAATGCAGTTTATTTATCCTGTCATCAAAAAAAAGGGGAGAGATTTGCTTTGCTGGTTAGTAACTAACAGGAACAAACACTATACATGGTGCATTGCAAACAGTACTCAGACAGGAGTGAAGAAAACCCAGTTCACTGGGCATTTCCTTCGCTGTTTACATTAAGGTGCAAGTAGAAAAGTGCAGCGATTCAATGAGAATCTGTGACATGGACGCTGAGTTTCTAGCTAAAACACTTCATGGTCACCATTGTTTTAGGTGTTACTGACACCTGCTGAGAGATCTGAAACTAGCCACTACCATTTAAAGCATAGAACTCTGAATTTTAATGAGACTTGTTTTGAAATCAGTCAATTTCTGCTTATGCTAGGAAATCATTTAGCATGAGCTCTTGAATCAACTGTTTTGGTTTTTTTGGCAAGTGGTCCGGAGGGGAGCTCAATGGGAAATTTCACACCTCCTAATCATCCTTATCAGATGCTAATAATGAAGCAAGGAAATTCCCCAGAGACAGCCACAGCATCCAGGAACAGGGCTGAGCTGAGACAGGAGGAAAATGCTGGATGAGATACATGGAGGAGGAAAGCCAAAACAGCCACAGAGCACAGCGGGAACACGACTGGCACAACACAACAGCAACCTCAGAGTCTGAAATGACAGCAACCAAAGAGACCTGAGAAAAGCAACAAGCCATGGCAGTGGGTGGGGCCGGCCGCTCTCTCCCTTTCTTATCTACCCAGGCTGAAACTTCCAAAAGAAAACAAACAAACAAAAACAAATACAAGGAAGCATCAGTCTGAAAAACTACAAATCAACCTTAAATTATTCAGGGGTTGACCAGGAATCTCCACGTGGTCCAACTCTCTATTCAGGAAACATTTCTATTTTTTTTTCTTATCAGATTACGGAAAAGATTGAAAATAAAGAGAAGACGAGTTCTGGAGATTTCCTATAGATTTTGATTGTCCACAAAAACCCTCTCTCTCAGGCTCACAGATCCCTGATCCTTGGTCACACCAACCAAGAATTCCGAAGTACAATCCAGCTTCTTGTAGCTTTCCCTTTATTTGCAAATGAAGAGAAAAAAGGTAAAAGGTAGGAGTTCTATTTCCTGTCTCTCTTTTCATATTGTCTAAAATGCTAGCACTCTGACAAAGAATGCTGGAAGCTGCAGTGGAAGCCCTCTAGCTGATCGGCCTGCGTGCTGTTCTCTCGGCTTTTCCGTGGGGAAGGAGCTGAAGCCAGGCAGCATGCAAAGTGTGAGGAAGCGGAGCTATGCGTGGCGTGGCCGAGCCACAGCACTACACCCTCCACACCCATGTTTCTAAAGCCAAGGCAGAAGCAGGAAGTCCAGAATGGCCTGTCAAAGCAGCTGCCCATTACACTCTCACAGCAGTGGAAACAAGGCCTGAGGGTCCTGGGGCCCTGAGCCGTGCTCCTTGCTGTGGACAGTTACCTGATGCTGTGGTGTCAGAGAGGGTTCCTGCGTCCAGAGAGGAAGAGCTGGGTGCCTGGCCGGACAGTCCCAGGCTCTGCAGGCCCAGGGCACTGCTGCTGCTGCCTGGGAAACAAGTGGAGAGTGAGCACAACATCCCCTCCAGGTCCCATCCACAGCGCTGCTTTGGCCACCTGCTACCCTCAAGAGTCTCCAAATACCAGCATGTGACCTCCTCTAGCCTACAGGAAGTTAGCCAACAGCCACTGCTGTCCACCCACCAAGTTCAGTTACAGAGATGGTGGAATGCTTCCTTCAGCTCAGGCAGGACACAGGCTGGAGGAATCTAAGATTCAAGAGGAAATAACCCAAACTGGCAGAAACTATGAGATTGGCACTCAGACTCCAATTCCCACCACATCCCTCTCACTCTCCACCTGTATCTCTGAACAGCTCTCACCCAGATCAACCTCTCCCCAAATCTGGGGACAAGCTAAGTCAGCTGGAATCAGTAACTGCCAAACCCTCTTTTCCTGTGCAAGGCCAATGGGCAGCTTTGCTCCTGGCATGGCCTTCTACCTTGTTGGTCCTGCTGCAGGCTCAGGGCAATGGCTAGTTCAACCATGGTCTCGTCATCTGCATCAGGCGGGATGTCCAGCATTGGGGGGAAGCCCTCTGCGCCTGCCAGCAGGGCCTCCAGGGGAGAGGGGTTGCCATTGTTGACATTTTCAGCTGTCTCCAGGACCATCGACTCAGACTGCAGAGAGAAAGCTCTGTCAGTGTCCCATGGTAAATGGTAACTTCTGGAAGTCCACTGAATAAGAGCTAGAGGAGAGTTTTGAAGCTCCTCCTCCCCTTCTCCTGCTGCCAGAGACTCACCACCATCTCAAAATCTCCATGGTCCACCTCACTCTGTTCCTGGCTTTCCTGACGGATGTGACCACCATTCGGGATCCCTGATGACTGCATTTTCTCATCTGCGTCATCATCGTCATCATCATCCTTGTCTCCTGAGTCAAAGAAACCCCAGTCACCTAAAGGTGCTTGCTTTCCTCCCTTGACAAAAGGTGCGATAAGTCATGTGGCAATAAAAACCCAAGACAAGCTACCAGCTAGCACTCGGCACCACTTTAGCGGGAAAGCTCCAGGGTGCTACGCTTGCCCTGGTTCTCTTGGACCTACAGCATCTGGGAAGATGGAGTTGGCAGTGACAGCCTGTCCCCTACAGAAATAAAATTTTCCAGCTGGTGAGGGCAACAACCTTGGACTCCAAAGGGATTTACATAAAGCAGAGATATCTAAAACCAGTAGGCCCCACAAGCTCCCACTAACTCTCAGGAGACCTTGGATAAGACAGGAAAAATCATATGACTGTGATCTTTATGTTTTGTCTGTCATGGCAGATTAGAATTTATTTCACTACTTTTTTCTAAAACAACTAGGTCAGTGAGATTGTCACACTATGTAATTATTATGAGAAGAACAAGAATTGAAGCATAAAACCATTGACTTGGAAACCAAGGACACCACTGCAGGCCCTGCCTGTGCCTGCTTCTGTGTGAAGGTGAGAAGGCCTTCTAATAAAGAAGTCCAGGTGAGACTCCTAATTGTCAGAAGAGGACAGAGATCTCACCTTCCACTCAATGGATTGTTAAAGCATGTAAATATGTCGGTTAGAAACAAACTATCTCCACTCCAGGTTCTTGCCGGAGAAAAGAGCCACAAACTGCTGCCTAACCCAAAAGCTTAGACAAGATAAATGATATTCAAGGAAGATAGTCTGAAAATCACAAAGTTGTGTACATTCCTCTAGACGTGCACTGTCCCAGCCACATGTGGCTACTGAGCACTTAAAACATGGCTAGTCTACAAGGAGATGTGCCACTAGCGTAAAATACATTCTAGATTCCCAAGATGGTACCAAAACAGGCAAAATATTTCACCACAATTTTTTATATTAACAATATGTTGAAATAACATTTTTAACATACTGGATTAAATAACTGGTAAATCAATTTTACTTTTTAACTCTTTATAATATTGCTATTAGAAAATTTAAAAGTACAGGCTGGGCAGTGGCTCACGTCTGTAATCCCAGCACTTTATGAGGCAGAGGCAGGCGGATCACTTGAGGTTAGGAGTTCAAGACCAGCTTGGCCAACATGGTGAAACCCCATCTCTACTAAAAATACAAAAATTAGCTGGGCACAGTAGCTACTCGGGAGGCTGAGGCATGAGAATTGCTTGATCCTGGAAGGCAGAGGTCGCAGTGAGCCAAGATCAAACCATTGCACTCTAGCCTGGGCCACAGAGTGAGACCCTGTCTCAGAGGAAAAAAACAAAAAAAAATAAAAAAATAAAGAAAATTTAAAAGTACACAGTAACTCAGTATCATCATACCCAGTAAGTCACTGAAAAAAAAAAAAAGTATATAGTGACTTTCATTTGAAATTTACTTCTACATCAAACCAAGTAACCAGAATTATATCATTGTTATTTAGACATCTGTTAGAATTGTTTTTACTGAATTGTAAAATGTTATGCTGTTGACTGTGCCCAAGTGTATCATAAGTGAAATTCCTGTGAAATCTGCCATCCAACTTATTGTAGGTAAGTACACTAAAGATTCTGCCCCTTTGGCAACAAAATGGACATTTCATGAAGAGCTTCTATGCCAAGAAAAGTTATGTTTTTGTTTTGTCTTTGGTCACTGTGATTTTATTTTTGCTATGGCTCCTAGGAAGCTTTCAGCCAAATATAAGGCCCTCCCCTAACAACCATGCAGGACCTTGTGATACGGATTTTCTGTATCTTGATTTTACCATGGTATTTTTACTTTCCCATGGCCTTGGATCTTTATTTTTATTCTATTTACTATATAAATTTTGATGTGCCACCTTAAATTCCTTATGGGGCAAGGTAGGATTAGAAAAAGAAAAACATGTAAACAAAAGTCTCCAGGACCCTGGTCAACATAAGCAGGATGTCTAATGCTACTGTACCTCCCTCTCTCCCCTTCTCCCAAATACAGGCTCAAGCCTAAACCCAGACCTCACATTACCCATTGGAGTGTTGCTTCGAGGGGAAGAGGGTAAAGTCACATGTCTCCGTTTGTTCCTGGGCCTTAGGACTCGAATGAGAGCTTGTTTACAAGAGAAGCTCACAGCAGGATCCTGAAGTTCAAAAGAAAACTGTCATGCTTTGGTTTCATATTATTCATGAAACTCTCTATAGAACACTTTCCTTTCTTGGCCACTCACTCACACGCATGTGGAATACCTCACTACTCTCACCTGCAACCCAGCTGACCAAGTTTAGCAGGTTAAGTTAATCCCATCTTCCTGATCTGGCACACACAAAAGCCATTCACTAACTTCCTGTCTCTCAGTTCCTGGTGATATAAACTGGCAGGTCATTTGCTCCTGAAGCCACTTTGGCTCCGTACAAATGTTTTTGTCTTTTTATCAGATGAACAGGCCCCTAGTGCGCATCTTAGCTCTGTGCTGAAATCAGTAGTTTTAACATTTTGCTTCTGTGAGAGGGTCACTGGAAATAGAAATCTTGATGTGCTACATTCATTCATTCCCTCATTCAAGTCACAATTCAGTGAGTTACCTAGCACTTACTACGTAGCAAGCAACTAGTCTCTGGTGATTCAGCACTGAACAAGAAAGACAAAGCCCGTCCCCTTTCCAAATTGTTCTCTTCCATGGAGTAAGATCTTAAAGCTTTTATAGATATTTGAAACTTAATTCCCTTCAGCTTCCTTTAAATCTATTTTATTTCATTAGTTTAGTAAACTAAAAACAATTTTCCAGACATTCCCTGGCTGCTGAGCGCTATCTGGGATCATGATGCTACGTACAGGGCACAAGAGCATCTGCATGTAGATCTTGGAAGCTGTGTTGATACAATCCAGCTCACAGGTACAGTAGCCATGGATGATGTCCACCAGAGCATTGACAGTTGCTTCAATATGAGTTAGGCCTAAAGGGGGAGACAAACATTATTTGAATATCTGGAGGAAAAAACTCTTAACTACTTGAGAGTCTGAGACAAAAGTGTAACTTTTTGTATCTCCACATAAAAGGTCATGGAAACAAAATAAAAAAACACTCACACACATACACACAGTAGCCTGAAAGTATTACTTGTGATTTGTTTCATTAACAGTTTCCTTATTTCCCAAATTGTTCTCAAAAGCCTTTCCAGATATCTTGAGTCACAGAAATAAGTAGCTGTCCACACCCTCTGGATATCAAAAGATAAGGCAAAGAAATACGAAGAGGAAGGCAGATACTAAATGTCCCCTACTAACCCCCAGCCTCAGGTGATGACAAAACATAACCTTGACATGCCTTCTAGGTTTACCACCCACGTGTCCTCCAAACATAAATGAGCACCAGGATCATCCTACCTCTCTGTATTACTATTCAGACTCACCCTTCCACCTGAATTTTCAATAGTGTAAGAAGTTAGAGACCAAATAGCTTAGACATAGAACAGATACTTTTGCCTTTTGAGCTGGCTTTAAATCAAGTTTTCAAAGATTTTTTAAAACAATTATAAGCCACTGAGGACACACACACACACAGTGCCTCTTTATGTAAAATATTCAACCCCAATGAAAAGATATGGTACAAGAAAATGCCACTCTGCTACACTGGTAAATTCCTGTCTCAGGAACATTGCATTTCTCTCACAGACTTCTACTCCCCAGTTATGAATTCTGGAAGAAACGGATTACGAAGAATGAAGGCTAATGGCTAAGGGTCATAGCTGTTCAAAGACAGACCTTACTTCAGGCTTCATTACCAAGATTCAAGTAGCTCTTTTAACATACCTGGAAGGCAGGCAGGTGCCAAGAAGGCATTCTTCGGTTTGGATGCATGGAGTTTCCAGAAGTGGTTCACAAGCTGGGTGATGAAACTACAGCAATCTCCTTCCAACTGCTTCTGCGGTTCTTTCCCCTCATCCATTCCTTCTAACCAAGAGAAAGAAAATTATCAACGATGGTAAATCTGAGATGGAATTTAATTTGTTTTAAGGTTAACTCAGGTCAAGGAAGCTTGCCTGGGGAGGGAGTTTCAAGTGGGGCCCCAATCAATATGCCAACTATCCCTAGATTCCAGCAGGCACATCTAGGAAAAAAACAGTCTGGGAAAGGAATATCGCAGAAAACATTGTATGTTAGAATTAAGTCGAAGGGGGAGCATTTAGGATGTTTACAGCAGATTCAAAGATCTCAGTTCCAACTGTTCAACTTCTAAACCCTAGAAGAACATCTGAACATTCTAGAGATTTCTCTAGAATAATTCTGGGATTATAGTATTTAAAGGAGGAACAGGATGATGATAGCATATGGGAGCATGTAAATAACAGAGAATTCTAAAGGCAGCAATTAGACAATGACAAAACAGGTTTGCTACCCAGGCAACATAAGAAGAGATGAGGAAACAGCACTAAGCACTGAGAAAGCTGCTACACATATTAACAACACTGACAAAAGAACAGCATGAAAACGAAAGATAAGCCACAGCTGCTTTAAAGTGACCAAGGCCCAACCAAGCTTAGCTTTACCCCAAAGCTCCTAAGAGGTCATAACTTCAAAGACAGATTATATCTGATGTCTAGAACATAAGTGATCTCAAGAATAATCAAAAGGATAATCACTGGAAAAAGAATGTGTTTAAAATGGTGCAATCTCAATGACAAAAGGCCCTACCAGGTATAAAGACTAGGAAGCAAAATCCCTGTCTCTGAGCATGCAGTCAGTCAGAGGCCAGTAAGAACAGTAAGAATGAGAGAGTAAATCAGTGTATGAAGCAGATCTCAGGATCACAGCCAGAGGCCAAGTTCACCTGTTTCCGTCTGGGGCAGCTTTGACTCCGTAAAGTGGACAAGGTTGTTGGGGCGCATGATGGCAATGGAGCGAGCTGTGATCACTAGCCTCTGGAACACCTCGGGGTCCAAATCCTTCCCTTCTTTGCTGGATGTGTTGAGACACTGCACAGCTTTGCTGAGCAAGGCCTGATCCTATAGAACAACAGGGCAACAAAGGGTCAGCCATAAGCAAGGGCTGGGTACGAAAGCAAAAAGGAGAGAAAAGCTGGCAGATCGTCAGGATTATTACCTCCTCTCAAGAGAACAGGCCAATGACCACCAACCACCTACAAAAAAATCTTCAAAGCAGCCCCATATAAAGTTTCCTAATACATAAAATATTAATGTCATTAAAAAATAAAAACTGTGCATTATCAAAGTCTGATGGGAAAATTCGAATCTACTCAGTTCTCCAGACTGCCAGATTTCTTTCTACTACAGTAGAAGAGTCATTTCTTAGCAAAATCGTATTACCCAGGGACTACAATCCAAAATTGCCTTTCCTTGAGAGGCTCAGCAATTTAAACTCATACTTCTCAGTTCCCTGGGTTGGAGGTACAGAAGCTAACCAAAGCTCTGGGCTGATGGCTTCTCTCAGAGCCCTTCTTCTTCAGGGGTCTGAACTGTCATCTTTTCGATCTATAGAAATTAGCCCAATTTGTCTCCTTTGGCAACGCCTTTCTTTCACAGGTGACATCCTCTTTCCCCAGATTTTCCCTTCAGAGGCACTGTAACCACTATTCAACACCTGTCTCACCAACAAGTGTAATACGTCTCTCGTGCTGTGCCACGGCTGAAACACTAGCAGTCTATCTCCTGAGGGACTCCCTCACCTCACCCTTTCCAGTGAGAAGGCTACTCACACTCAATGTCCTTCCCTCTCTTCCTTTCTTTTTTTTTTTTTTTTTTTTTGAGATAGGGTCTCACTCTGTCACCAGGCTGGAGTGCAATGGTGTGATCTCAGCTCACTGCAACCTCCACCTCCCGGGTTCAAGCTCCACCTCCTGGATTCTCTTGCCTCAGCCTCCCGAGTAGCTGGGATTACAGGCACACGCCACCACGCCCAGCTAATTTCTGTATTTTCAGTAGAGACGGGGTTTCACCATGTTGGCCAGGATGATCTCGATCTCCTGACCTCGTGATCCGCCCGCCTGCGCCTCCCAAAGTGCTGGGATTACAGGCGTGAGTCACCGCACCCGGCCCCCTCCCTCTCTTAAGTCCTGCTGATCCTGTTAGAGTGACAGAAAAATATGTACAAACCAGGGGCCCAGTTGCTGGCTTATCCTCAGTTTTGAGTGGCACTTGTGAATTTCTCAGGAGAAACTCTAGACAATGTGGGTGTAATCTGAATGCTATCCTCTACCTTTCTTTGCTGTGCTGTTGCGTTACCGTGAAAAGCTAATTTATTTGATTCCCTGTTAGCAATGCAATTTCCTTTCCTACACAGGCATCCCTGAGAGAGAACGGTTACCTTGTGGCTGTGGTAGGCCGAGCGGCTGGTGTGCAGGCTGGCCAGAAGGCTCTTGGATTGCTGCTGGACGCTGGCAGGTGCCGGCAGGGACAGCAGCAAAGTGGCCAGCTCCTGAGCGGCATTCTTGTTTCTCTCCTGAAGCAAAAGACAGCAGGGTTATCACTAGTCCCACCAACTTAAGGCAGAATGAACTATCTACACTCTGCCTGCCACTTCCCTCCTTCTAGGCCACCAGGGCTAGGTTATGCTCCATGGACTGCAAAGAGAAAAAAATAAAAAGTTTCAGAAATTATAATCCTCCTTACTAGCAGGTGAAGAAATGGAATCCAACCTCGTGATTCCCAGAACAGTATTCTTGTACCAGCACGCATCCTATTCTATGACACACGCTCAATATGGGCCCCATAAGTAGGGCATAAGGCCTTAGCTGAAGACTTCTCTGGTGCTTCTTAGTAAATCAAGATTATGCTACTATAAATGTTCTTTAGCTGCGAGGCATCAGGGCCTCAGACAACTCCACTGACTTCCTGCCTCTTCAGGGAGCTTCCATGTGCTTTGAAAAAGTGACTTGCCTTCTCGATGATTGGGCCAACAGCAAAGCAGCTTTCCAGGGCTTCTAAAGAACTCACAACCAGCCTGGGGAGACAGAAAACCTGGCTTGAGTACAACACCATTCTCTCTGCCTTGCGCTTTAGCCTAAGCAAACTATAGACAGGAGGACCTTGGGGACAGCTAATGAATGCCAAATACAAAATCAAAGCACAATAAGACCTGCCACAGGCACCATGCATATCGTTTCCTATGTTACAGGCCAGGAGAAACCTGGCTCCTGCTCGGAGATCAACCTGAGGCCATGTTCATAATCCATAACTCAAAGACAGGGCTTTTCTTCCTCAAAGAGGATAAATGTGCTTCCTTCTGCTGCCTGTGGCAGGGATCACTGAGATGGGCTTAACAGTCTTGATGCAATGGGACCCGAAGCTCAGGTGCCCAGAGATCAGTGGGCAAAAGGATACACAAAGGGAAAGGTAAAACCATCTTCTTATACTGGGAAGTTTAAAGTTATATATGCACAAAGGCATTTCCTATGAGTCTCTAAGTATGGGGGAGAGAACAAACTATTTTTCAGATGCATGCCAACTGCCAACATTCAAGGGGTAATACAAAGCATCTTTAGAAAACTGATTTCCCCTTAGGGAAGAAACGGGAAACCCAACTATTACTATTAAAGGATACCAAGTAACATGTTTCCCAGGGTTTACTCCTTTGAGTTTAATGTGTCATAGTAAAAAGAACAACATCCTGACAGCTGAAGCTCTGGACAGAGAAAAGAAAAATATTCAGAAGGTAGCTGGAAAGAAAGGGGTTAAGGGGTAGAGGAAGGCAATAAAGAACAAGGGAAGAGGAAACTGAGGCATAAAGCAAATTTAGACAGAACAAGCTCTCTAGTGGTTTATCAGATGGTAGGACTTTGCTGTTAATCCCTCTACCCCGAACCCCCTTTTCATCCACTTAGAGAGGGAGCAGAGAGGACTCGGGTAAGGAAGAGAGTTGAGAGAGTCTCTGACAAGAGAGTCTCTGACACAGCCAACATCAAGTGTGCACTTACGATCCTCCGTATACTACATTTTTACACATGGACAGCTCTGTAGCCATGCAATGACCAGAACAGAAAGAAGCAGGAGGACTCTTCAGCAGAAGCAGAATCAATGCAAAGCCACACCATTGGTTACACTGCTCTCTGACACACACTCACTCGTGCAGAGAAAAGAAAGAGGGCATACTAACCGGTCCAGCTTGGTTAGGGACTCAGTTTCAGAACTTGGGGGAGAAGCAAAGAAAAAAAAAAAAAAGGAAAAAAATGTGAAGCTCAGAGAAACCTGGAAACACATCCTAAGCAAATCATGTATGGATAGGGTGTTGGGGAAAAAAGAAAGAGAAAGGGAGGGAGGGAGGAGGCTGCTGGTGGGAGGCAGTGATTCCAAGCAATGCTATTCTTGTGACTTACAATGTAAGAAACTCATAATCTTACATCATGAACTATAATATTTCATCTACCATGGCAAACCAGCAGCTACCTAGCACAAAGAAGCCAAGCACAATGCTTTAGAATGCCACTGTAGGGAGACCTAAGGAAACTCTGGACTCTGCTATAAGAGGCAGCAGTCAGCCTCTCTTGCTGGCAATGTTATTACCACAGAAGTAGCTACTGCAGAGAAAGATGATGAGAAGATGATGAGATCAGAATGGAAGGGAGGGTGTTTTCCTATCACTTCAGCAAGCCTGGATCCTAATCTAGAATACTGGCTTAAGCATCGTCTAGCCTATGGCCTCTAAAGGGTACCTAAGCATTAAGAGAAGGGACAGAACTTCTGCCCAGGGAGAGACTCTGGTGTCAGATGACTGAGCACATTTTTCAGGCTTTGTCTGCACACTAAAGAGACACTGAATGTGGGTGAGTTGTGTGAAAACTTTAAAAAATTCCAGGCTAGCTTTGAGAAGGTTATTAGAAGCTGGCTCGCTCAAGACACAGGAAAGTTCTGCAGTGAAAGTGGGGAATGTAAAAACTGGAGCCAACCCCTGCCAGAACTGGTACCTCTCCAGGACAGTTCCACTGGTCGTAGTGGGCGCAGCTGAGTCGCTATCTCCAGTGCCGTTGCTCTGGTTCAGGTTTGAAGGGCAGATGTTACTGACAGAGGCAGAAGGGAATTCCTCTGGGGGCTCATCAGGCCAGCCAAACTGTTCCTTAGTCTTGCCATAAATTTTTACAGCGTCTATCATGGTGACACCTGCTGGATCCACCGAGGCCCCTACTGCAATAAGAGAGGTCTTTAGGAAGCACATTCTCTAAAGGGCCACCCCTCCAAAGCAAAGACCAGAACAGTTGGAACAAAGAAGTAAATCACATCAATTTTATAGACATAGAGAAACTTTATCTTCCGAGATATTCACAGCACTTTAGTCGTGTATAGACGCTGAAAACATGTGGAAAAAGTTCCATGGACCAAAAACCAATTGCTTCTCCCACTCACTAGAGTCCCTATCCATCACTGTAAGGGTCCTCTTCTGCTTCATAATACTTGTATCCCCTACCCCTCACTCCCAGGGGTCTCTACACACTTTCTTTGTTCAAAGTACAGATCAAGATCATTCACACTAACAACAACAATTTCCAAGAGAAAGAGTATCAGACAGTGGCCAATAAATGACAGAGAAATGCAGTCTTAAGGCTCAAAGATTTGCACTCTGAGGGTTTAGTTTTCAATGGCATAGCAAGCCATCACTAACCATCTCTCAGCCATGTGTGACCTGAGGTCTTCCTTTGTGCTTTAAGAAAGCCTTCCAATTTCACGTCAATCTGCCTCTCTCAGCCTAAACACAGAAGCTGCCCCATTAGTGAGGTGGACACAACATTACAGAAATGAATACTTCACAGAGTGCAGCCCTATCTTTACTGCTCCCATGCTCCGGTGTACTCCTTTCCTGTCACCCTGCCTCCTAAGCTCAAAGTTTCCTGAGAGAAGGACAGGAAAATCAGTAGAGTAGACAGATCCCAGAATACTGGAGAGCCACAGACCAGTGGCACCCAATTTAGCAGTCACAATGAGGACAGCGACTGCGCCAGGGGTTGGTGACTCACTGAAGAGGTTCAGCTTCTTATCAGCCTGCAGGGCTTCTTCTCTGGTAAAGGGGAAGTCAAACCAGCGTGAGCGACTCAGGTTGAGCTGCATAGTTCTGCCGAAGATCTCGATATACGATGGGGCCCGTTCTATTGCTTGAGTCCCAATCTGGATCCGCATGCCTGTCATCACCATAGTGCTATTGTTGTTACTAATCTCAATGGTGAAGCCTCCAGGCTGTGGGGAGACAAGGCACACATCAGGAAACTAAAAGAAGTTCTTAAATTCAAACTAGGAGTCCTTCTCTGACATTGTCTCAACATGTGAAGCTCATTAAATCTTATCCTTTCAACTCCCTGGTAATGACCTCCTTGTTTCTAAAAATGAGAAAATAGGGGAGGAGAACAGATTCTTTTCAATGTCAGGCTTCCTCCCGCTCAGCATTAACAATCTCTTTGGTGTCGTCTACACAGTAACCTGCTGGTATTGGTGGAAACCTAACCTGCAGACATCCTTTGGCAAGTGAGTGAGAATATCCATTTTTCTAAGGAATCATTTAACTAGAATCGAGAGTTGTGACTATGAATATATACTCTATGCTTGCATTCTAAAAGGAGATGTGTTCTCAAACCACATTGTTTATGAGTCCTTTTACCCAGGAATTGATCCCAGCCCAGTGCAATTCTTACCTTGGTGTTGGCCACATACATGCCAGTGGAATTCAGCCGGTGTTTTATCTGTTGTGCATTGTAGACCTGGAGGAGGTCATTACCACCAAACTCCACATCTGTCAGCTGCTGGTTGTGTTCAAAAAAGTCAATGGGGAAAGTCACCTGGCTAGACGTGCGGGTTGCTGCAGAGAATGGTACCAGATTACCAGAGAGTCTCGACCACCTCTGCCTCAATGCCATCGGCAAAGACTCCTCCCAGACAGAACCCACATTCACACTCTCATCTTTCTAAGCAAACTCTGGATTAGAACACTTGCATCAGCATGATACCTACATGTGGTTAGCTCTCCAATGGTTGTTATCCCTAACTACAACATGTCCTAGCAATACAAAGAAATCTGGCATTGGTATTGGGTATACAGTTAATAACAATGTAAATAAGAATGTAAATGAATAAACCAGTCTTTCAAACGTAGACTCCAGAGCAAATTTACGGTAATGTGATGATCCCTTTGGATCATGGTAATGGTCTTTGCTTAGCTGGATTCGCTCACTGCTAAACTCAAGCTTTCACTTTCCTAAAGAGTCCTCAGTCAGTCAAGTGCGAGACCACCAGCTCAGAGACCTGTGGTGGGTTCTTCACTACTCAGTGGGAAATTAACCAACTGAAGAGATCTATACTTCAATCAGTTGCAATCTTCAGAAAAGTCATTCTCCCTAAACCTAGAGAGAAAAATCTCTCAAATAAGGTCCAGGACATAACTTGTTACTAGGCACCAAAGAACTGCTGGCCTGAAGCAGGCAGCCAGTGGGTGTTTGCCATTTGGAACTGTGACTCTGCTTTCAGGAAATTAGCCAGCACATACCTCTAACTTTACGAAATGTGCAAGTAGGACAGTCACCATTTCTTCACAGACATTTGCAACAGTCTATTCTGAGTCACTGTCTAGAAGACCACACCATTCCTACTCCCCCACAAGTCTTATGAGAAGAAGCCTTACTGATTGTAGCTGTTTTGCGCTTTCGAACAGGCTTCATGATGCTGATGACACTGCTGGGCTGCAGGGATGGCTGCAGCCAGTAGGAGGTGTTCTCCACGTTGGCCATGTAAATGCGCAGGCTGCCGTCCTCACACAGCAGAATCATTGTTGTCCGTTGCTGCTCATTGCAGGCCGTATGCCTAATGGCAACCATGTCTTGGATCTAGGAGGAGAGGACAAAGGAGGGTCTTAGTTTCCATACCTACAGATCAGCAACCACACAGAAAAAGAGGAGAGATGCAACTGGTTTCACAGTCAGTTGTGGGGCTGTACAGAAGGGTGGCAAAGGAAAGGCATGTAGGAGAAAAAGAACTCTTTCATGGGCCTCCATTGAAAGAGCTGGGGAAGTGAAGTGAATATAAAAGTATAAAAAGAGACCAGGTTCACAGCAAAGTAATCAATGGGAAAATCTGGCACTGACCTTTGCTTTAGCAGGAAGAGTCTTAATCTCCTGGATAAGAAAAGTGTCTGGTTTCACCATGACTACCAGCGGCACCCCTGTAGTTTGCTGGACACAGCACACCAAGCCAGGGTGGTTCATCACCTCAGACCACTGGCAAAGGGCAGGAGACGTCTTACTGCCACCATTGGAACTGCAGACAACAAAACTGGCTATGGTTAGAGTGTCAGTCACCATTTAATAGTTCTTTTCTTGACCTAAAAACCATCCTCTAACTGGCTACATGACTCCAGATCAATATCCTTGGCCAGCAACTCAGGTTATCCACAGGTTAGTTTTATTTCAAGCCATGCACACCTGCTCACACACCCTAATGTGTGTGTCTGGCAGGGCAGCCCTCATTTGGAATCTCCACTGAAACGTTCCATTTCTGAATAACAGGTGGCCCTATGTGCCTAGAGGCTGCCAACAGCATAGGGCCATGGAGCTGCCTAAGGTTAATGATCCACTGTCCTATAAGGATCTTCAAACACAGTGAGTTAGTGTAAGCTGGTATTCATTTTATTACATCCCAAATCATGTAATTCCCAAAGAAAGGCCTGAAAGAAAGTGCTACAATGGGTCATCAATGGCAGATAAGAAACACGGGAAGATATTGTAAGCCTCTTCTTCCTCCTCCCTAAATGAAACTTTCACTCCCTTAACACATCCCTCTATTATCTGCAAACTTGGTGAAAGTCTCTTCCTCCCCCAAATCCAACCAAGCCCCCATTACTGATACATTCTATTTGCTAACAGAGTAAGTTTGCCTCAGGAGAAAAACTTAAAGGGCACTGCGGCAGAATGAGCATCTAAGAAAAACTTAGGTTTCCTTCTCACACTGAAGTCACATTTATAACTAACTGTAGGTTTTCCTTCTGAGTAACAGTGGACCACTAAACTACCTTCGACAACTTGGGATCTACACAGTGGAGGACAAGCCGTGGAGACAACCCAACCTGCCAAGCCCAGATGCTCCTAATTTTAAAGATACCCAGCAGGGAAGACAAAGGTTGGCTGGAGAAAAGTAAGTTTCACAAAACCCAGAACAGATAGCAGTACTTGGGAGTGGGAGTGGAGCTCCCTCGTTAAATGTGAACATTGTGAAAGCTGAACATTAAATGTTCATTCCCACCTTTTGATGTTGATGGGGAAGAGCTGCAACACCTCCAGGGTTGTCCTGCTGATGGTGGCTGCAAATGATTTGCCTTGACAGTAGCTGAAGAACAACATCTGCAATACGTGGGAGTAGTACACGGACACACCACCACCTGCCACCTGGCTGTTACTGTCCTGCTGGCACAAAGACACATATTTGCAGTAACTCCTCATGCTGCCTTGGTTACCAATTTCCAGTTTATGCTGGTTATTAGTTTTCAATCATAATCAGGTGCTCTCATACTCTAAGCATGAGCTCCCTGTTGATAAATCTTACAAAGACCCTGAGAATAATGGAACTGAAGAGATCTATACTTCAATCGGTTCTATTATTCCCAGGGTCTCTGGGAGATCCTAAAGGATAAGAGATTTTGCTATTAGGCAAAACATTAGAAGGAAAAACAAAGAAAAAGAAAAAAAGATCCAGTTAGATGAAGTCCACAGAAAAATTTTATAAAAGAACAAAGAAAAAAGAATAGATAGTTGCTAAATAATTAAATCTGAACTGAAGGAAATAGCAACATGTGCTCTAACCTTCAGGTCCTCATGATTGATTTCCAGCACATTCGTGACATAGAAGGGTCCCTGCTGGGCACTGCTGGCCTCTTCCATGAGCTGAGTATAGATGTACCCAGCCGAAGACATTATAACAATGATGTTCTTTCCCTCCTCGTTGAAAAGGAAAGTAACGTCTCTTATCTTGGAGCTTGGTAGGAGAAAGTAGAAGGTTGGACTCAAGGCATCAACAGACAGGTCATATATCTGCAGGATGGAAGAAAAACTAAATAAGGGAAATCTGTCTCAGTCTCATCCCCCACATATCTTAGTGAATCCAAATAGCTGAAATTGACCAATAACAGGCATTCATTCTCCATTCAATAAAAAATGGTTAGGCACTGGTCCTATAAAGATGAACAGAACACCTTTCACTTTCCTTCATGGAATGAGTAGGGGACAGACATACATACATAAATTCTGTAACAAGTACGGTTATAGGTGTGCCCTTGGTACAGTGAAGTTAGAACCAGAATCAATTCCCTATCGCCTAAAGACAGAAAGCTCCCGCTCAGCCACATAGCAAAAGGCGAAAAAATATGGTTTATTTTTATTTTTAGAGACAGGGTCTTGCTCTATCACCCACATTGGAGTGCAGTGGCATGATCATAGCTCACTGCAGCCTTGAACTAAGCCTCAAGTAATCCTCTACTCAGCCTCCCAAGTACTGGTACTACAGTTGCAAGACATGGCGCCCAGCTGATTTTGTAACTTTTGGGAGAAGCTAACACATAATGAAGATCAGACATTCTAGATTTAAAAGTAGAAAAATTCTAGGACCATATCATCAAAGAACTGTAACTGTACCTTAACAAAGTCCGCAGTGACAATTGCTAACTCGGTCTGTGAACCAGGCAACCACACGGCTTTGATGATGAAGTTCCCCGTTGCCAACTGAGGGTGCAAAACCAAGTGATCCGAAACAGAGCCTGAGCTACCAAAGGTGAGCACATGGCAGTCCTGGACAATGTTTAAGGAACAAAATGGTGAAAAGATGATGTGGGAAAGTAGGTTAATTCATTTCAGACTTCTGATGTTCCTTTTTTTCCCCCTAATATCCCCTGCCTTTAGACAGTATTTAGACTGTCTAGTAATATTCAGGTTTCATGAATCCAAAGGTTATTTCCAATATCAAAGAAATCCCAAAGATCTAGGAAAAATTCAAAGAAAAATTCCTTTTGCATTTCAGTAGGTTTTAAGTTTTAATCTCAACAATAAATAATAAAAAGTAGTTCTGAGAATAGTGGAGAGAAGGTGACTAGAATCCCCAGTTCCAGGTAATCAAACCTAGATGAGGATTTTTACCTTTAGCCCACAAACCGCCAGGTAGTCTTCCTTGCAGGGATTTCCTGTGAGGCTCAACACAGTGAAAGGAACTGGGGCAGAAGCCAAGCGGGTAAGAGTCAATTTCCTTTTGCTGGAATCTGCTTGCTTCAGGAGAGCAGAAAGCTGCAGAACAGTGATCTGCAAAGGAACAATGACCAATTTATTCTTACTCCTAGTCCTCTCAGAGAACTCAAAGCAAGTAACAAAAAATCTTTCAATAAGAGATAATAGGCGGCACATTTTTTTTTTTTTTTATAAGTAAGTCTAGTAGAAAAATCCTCGACCAATATTAGTCTGTATTTCTCCTGGTTAAAAGCCATGTCTTTCATTCTGTCCTTCCAAGTAGGACAGAAGAGATGAGTAACGAAGCCAATTTATAGAGTTACTTCACAAAATAGTTTAGGAATATCTATGTATCACTGTCCTTTTCTAGTATTTTCTATGAAACTGTTTTTTAAATGATTTTAGAATTCTTTTAAAGACTATCCATCTTTTCACTTAAAAGTGAAAACATTAGTGGTGATGGAGAGGCCAGAATACAGAAAAGTGTGAGTTCAGATACCTAGCATTCTTCCAACTTCTACTAGCTCTATAAAACAATACAAATTTATTTGTACCCTTAAGAGAGCTGGGAAGGCAGGGCAGGTCTACATAAGCAACACTGAGTGTTCCTATGAAAACTTTTGTCTCTCCGCTTATGCCTTCCAGAGTGTCCAAATAAGGCAATACTGGGAGCCAAGCTGTCCTAGGTAACTGCTGGTCATTACTTTTTCCTGAGGGCTTGAAGAATACATTTTGAGTGGAAATTTACTAATTACAAACAGTCTGTCCTGGTCATACCAGCTCTAGTTCTAATCAAATTAACTCAGGGTTTAAGTATTTGAAAAGCTCAAGATCTGTCCATAAAGCATTCTTAGAATCCAACGGACTTTTTCCCACAGAGGGCTAACCCGAAAGTGGCCATCAATCTATTTTGCTTAGTATTTAAGACAACATGACCTAAAATAAGTGCACAGGCATTGGAGGACCCACCTTGCCCTTCTCATGGCTGACAGCCAAATGTTGGCGGCGCCCATGGGGAGAGGAGAGCACACACATAGCCACCCGCCTGAGCACATGAGCGCTAATCAGCTGCCGGATGGTCTGGCCCTGGTCGCCACTGTAATTCATCCGCACGTTCTCAAAAGCACCTTCCTGGGAGCCTAAGGTAGGAACCTGGCAAAGAAGAAAGCATAGCCAGTAATGAGGCAAATAAAATCATGTGGATTCACACACTATTCATGCGACTGAGACACTGCACAATTTAGTCATTCAAAAGCAGTGATTTCAACATCCAAACCATGGATGGCTGAGTAAATTTGTTAACGTTATTATCAATCCATTAAGAACAACATAGTAGGCCGGGCACGGTGGCTCATGCCTGTGATCTCAGCACTTTGGGAGGCAGAGGTGGACGGATCATGAGGTCGGGAGTTCGAGACCAGCCTGACCAAAATGGTGAAACCCCATTTCTACTCAAAATACAAAAATTAGCCGGGCATGGTGACACACGCCTGTAATCCCAGCTACTCAGGAGGCTGAGGCAGGAGAATGGCTTGAACCTGGGAAATAAAGCTGAGATCGTGCCACTGCACCCCAGCCTGGGCGACAGAGCAAGGATCCATCTCAAAAAAAAAAATTCATAAGGGAGTGACATTT